TTGAACCTAAGCATAAAAATGGACCATTTCCTCTGTGTCTTTGGGTCTTCATCCTGAAAACTCTGGCATCAAATTACTATGTATGCTTTTCTCCTGTTGATCTGCTTTTTGTCAGTGATTTTCAGTGAACTTTCATTGGGTGAAGGGGAAGTTTTCCCTCCCCTACAGTTCCTTCTTTAGAGAAGCCTTCCTGAACCTTCTGCTGAGACCAGTCCTGTGGACACAGGCTTTCAGAGCCCCTGGATGTACTTCCACTTCCAGCACTTAATACAATTGTAATTACTTTTTGAGGTGGGTGGGTTATTTAATATCTAGGGGCTCCCATTGTACCATAAAGGCTTAAAGTCCTCATCTGTTTTATTCACTACCATATGCCCAATGCTTAGCAAAGTGCGCCTAGTACATAAAGGATGCTCAGTAAGTATGAATGAAGGAATACACGAACAAGTGAATGAAGAAAAGAAGTGAACCTTGGACCAAGATAAATTTGTAGGGAGGCAAGAATTCAGACACAAAAGGGAGACAGCACGCACCTGCACAGCTCCGTGAGAAGAGAAAAGACGGTGCACTTCTGAGACGGTACAGCTCTGTGAGATGAGTGGGGGGCGAAATGCCTGTACAAAGCTCACTGCCATGGCAGCTGCCACCAGATCACCTCCCACTGGCCTCCTCTAGACCCTCAGGGACCTCTCCCCATCTCACATGCCTCAGCCTCCCCATCAGAGCCAGTCAGCACAGGCGGGGAGAAGTCATTTCATGTGACTCCAAAGGGCTGGGCAGAGCTGAGCCCCAAATAGAGAACTCCCTCATTTTCTTCTTCTTTTTTCTCTTTCTTTTTTTGAGACAAAGTTTTGCTTTTGTTGCCCAGGCTGGAGTGCAATGGTGCGATCTTGGCTCACTGCAAAATCTGCCTCCCGGGTTCAAGCGATTCTCCTGTCTCAGCCTCCCAAGTAGCTGGGATTACAGATGTGCACCACCATGCCTGGCTAATTTTGTATTTTTAGTAGAGACAGCGTTTTACTATATATTGGCCAGGCTGGTCCCAATCACCTGACCTCAGGTGATCCACCCACCTCGGCCTCCCAAAGTGCTGGGATTATAGGCATGAGCCACCGCACCCGGCCATCTTCTTTTTTTCTTAAGAGATGAGGTTTTGCCATCTTGCCCAGGTTGGTCTTGAACTCTGGGCTCCAGTGATACACCTGCCTCAGCCTCCCAACATGCTGGGATTACAGGCATGAGCCACCGTGCCTGGCTGGACTCCCTCATTTTCAATGAGAGCCTTGGAAGTGGGAGCATGTTAGTGTGGACATGATTTCTCTGCTCCCATCGTAGTCTTTGGGTCCCAGTGCCCTTCCCCATATGGGGATGCTGAAGGTCTCTCTTGTATCATCGTCACAAATTGGGGCAGGTGCCCAGGGATTTATATGAATCACATAGAAATCTACCCATCTGCTTGGCCAGGACTACCTCCCTGGGAGAGCAGTCCCCCCCCGGGAAGTTGGCAGTGACCGGTGACTTTCCCTCTGTCCTCCCCCGATCAGTTGCTCAGAAGCACCACTGGATTTGTTGGTCCTCCTTCCCCCATCTAGGAATTTTCTCCTCCCTGGCCTGCCTCTGGACTCTGCCTCTGTGATTAACCCTTTCTCTCCCTTGTGGTCTCCTCTTCCCACTCCAAAACTAAAAGTCTTAGTCCTTCCTCTTCTCACACAAGCCCCGCTTCTTGATGGCCCTATCCATTTCTGCAGCTGCACCATCCTATCCACATGGGTGAACCCCAAATATCATCACTCTTCCTGACCTTGCACCAAGCACTTGTCTCTCATCCCCAAATGCCAGCAAGATAAAGTCAAAGTCCTGAGCTAAATCCTGGAGTCTCCTGCCATCTTCCCCTTCTTTTGCAAACCTAGCTGAGATGGCGACTGCAACTGCCCAGGCTGCATGAGGGTGGGGACTGGAACAGCCAATGTCCATGCTTCCAGTACATTCCTGCCTTGTCTGGCTGGCCACTGTGTCTCCCGAAGAAGGTCCACATACAGGACACGGTCAGGGGTTTGAAACCACACTGGGGACAGAAGAGGATGAAAGATACATTTGAAGGCTGTCAAGGACAGAGGATCAAGAGAATGTATTCCCAGGTACCGAGCTCAGGGAACGTGGCTTGATGGGCCTCCTGGGCCCTCTGGCCAAGGTCTTTTACTTTTGCCAGGCTGGACTGCACGCCTCTCCACTTGGCTCTTTGTTCACTTGTTATATCTCTGTCTCCACTTCCAGACTCGAAGCCCCATTAAGACAGGACTATGTGTCTTGCTCTCTGGCCACTCTAGGCATTCAGTGAGCATCTGCTGAATAAATAAATAGAACATGTTCTGCCCCTTGCCCAACTTGATGTCTTTGTTCTTTTTTTTTTTTTTTTAGACGGAGTCTCCCTCTGTCGCCAGGCTGGAGTGCAGTGGTGTGATCTTGGCTCACTGCAACCTCCGCCTTCTGGGTTCAAGCAATTCTCCTGCCTCAGCCTTGCAAGTAGCTGGGACTGCAAATGTGCTCCACCATACCCAGCTAATTTTTGTATTTTTAGTAGAGACGGGGTTTCACCATGTTGGCCAGGCTGGTCTCAATCTCTTGACCTCGTGATCTGCCCGCCTCAGCCTCCCAAAGTGCTGTGATTACAGGCGTGAGCAACTGCACCCAGCCTATGCCTTTGTTCTTAATTCTTCCCTTGAGACGCTCTGCACCCTCCCTCCATCTTTCTTTCCACATGTCAAAATCCTTCCCATCCTTAAGACCCATTCAAATGGTACCTTCATTGTGAAGCTTTCCCTCAACCCCCACCGCTGAGAGCCTCCTTCTCCCTGCTAACTCCCCATGGTACCTGGTTTGCCTTTATTAGATCACTTACACCTTATGCTTTGGATTATCATAATTTCTGTACCCACCTCTGTCCCCCAGTAGAGCGCCAAGTATAGCCTTTGCTCTCCTCTAGGCCTCTGCCCCTCATTGATGACTCCCTCTCTCCCCAGCCCCTGCCCTGCAGACATCCTGCCATGGCCTCCATCAGCACAGATGTTGGCCCCAGACAGCCGACCCGGGTTCGCCCCATGCTTTTCTACTTCCTCAGCACAAGGAAGCACAGCTCCTTGAGGGCAGGGGCAGGCCATTGGTGTATTCTCTTCCCTATTCCCTGGCACAGTGCTTTCTATGCAGTAGGTGCTCTGTAAGTGCTCAGTATAGGAAGGTAAGAGTATCGATTGCAGTCAGCGCCTTTTTACTCCAGATGCTGCTTCCTTGGAGCCCAAAGCACCCTCCCTGAGCCTCCTTTCCCCAGACTGGGAGCTCACTCATGCAGACCGGGCCACCTCCAAGGTTTCCCTCCTTCCTCCGCACCCTATCACTGCTACAGCTTTGCCTAAACCAGGTCCCAACCCAGCGCTATTTCAGACATTTGCATGGCCTGACCACAGCCTGTAGGTGGGGAGGAGGCTGAGCTGCAGGGATTTTCTGGTCTCACAAGGCCTCTTGTCAAGAGCCCAGGAGCACAAAAGTTGCCTGATGAAGGGGGCAGGGCTCCAGGGTGGGGGGCATCCAGGGGCCCCTGCACTTCCTGGGGTGCTGAGGAAGTAGAAAAGCATGGGGTGAACCCGGGTCTGCTTCCTGTGGCCACCATCTGTGCTGATGGAGGTGACCGCAGGGTGTCTGGGGGTGGGGGTAGGGAGCGGGGGGCTGGATGAGTCATCAGGGAGGGGCAGAGGCCCAGAGGAGAGCAAAGGCTAAATCTTCCCCAAACCCTTCCTGTTTGGGCTGCCAGAGATGGAGTGGCAGTTTTGGTTTTTTTGGTTTTTGACACAGAGTTTCGCCCTTGTTGCTAGGCTGGAGTGCAGCGGTGTGACCTCTGCTCACTGCAACCTCTGCCTCCTGGGTTCAAACTATTCTCCTGCTTCAGCCTCCTGAGTAGCTGGGATTACACATGCCCACCACCACGCCCGGCTAATTTATATATTTTTAGTAGAGTCAGGGTTTCACCATATTGGCCAGGCTGATCTCAAACTCCTGACCTCAGGTGATCTACCCGCCTCGGCTTCCCAAAGTGCAGGGATTACAGGCATGAGCCACTGAACCAGGCCTGGAATGGCAGTTTTTCCAGCAGAACTAACACCGGCATTTCAGGCGTTTTTGTCCCTGAGCTAGACCCCACACCCCTACTTTGCTCTGAGGAAATCCTCACCAGGGTGCCAACCTCTTGCTAAGGGCAGCAGTAGATACCCCTGGGAATTTCTAGGGGAGGGGGTCATCTTAGGAAGGAACCTTGCTGAGCCCAGGGCTCAGGCTAGCGGTGGGGCAAGGGTGCGTGGAAGGTGAAGGAGGAGTGCCTGCCCCCGCTGCAGGAGAGCAGAAGGCTGAGAGGAGCGGCATCTTGAAGGAGGAGGACCCAGGCAGGGCTGCTTGGCCTTGGTTGGCTAGAATTGGTGGGGCCTGGGAAGGCTGGAGCTGGGAGAGTCAGCCCCTTGACATTCAAACACAGAAAAATCCCCTCAACAGGAAAATATAAAAGTAGTCATCTGTAGTAGCCAGCAAGAGGCACTAACTAGTGGTTTCAAAAGGAACTCAACTAGCAGAGTTTGCTAGAACTCACTATGAGAACCTTGGTATAAGCTGCTAGAAACCCCAGAGAATTAAAGACAATTACACAGCCTGCACATGGTGGCTCATGACTATATATCCCAGCACTTTGGGAGGCCGAGGTGGGCAGATCACCTGAGGTCAGGGGTTCGAGACCAGCCTGACCAACATGGTGAAACCCTGTCTCTACTAAAAATACAAAATTAACTGGGTGTGGTGGCGCATGCCTGTAGTCCCAGCTACTCGGGAGACTGAGGCAGGAGAATCGCTTGAACCCAGGAAGCAGAGGATGCAGTGACCCGAGATCGCACCATTGCACTCCAGCCTGGGCAACAGAGCAAAACTTCATCTCAAAAAAAAAAAAAAAGACAATTACACAAATGAAAGCAGGCAAGAGACTAAGGTAATTATTATTATTTAGAATTGACTTCCAGAACCCAGAACCCATGGCAGATCTATTTAGACTTTTGCTACTCAAAGTTTGGTCCACTGACCAAAAGTACATCAGTATTACCAGGGAGCTTGTTCCAAATGCACAATCTCAGACTCGGTCCTGGCTACGCCGAGTCTGCGCCTGTATTTAACAAGGCCCTCAGTGAACCGAGTCCACATTAAAGTTTGTGAAGCACACTGGAGGCCACACCCAGAAACTAGGCAGAGATTGGGCTACTTGAAAAAGGAGGCTAACAAGAGTTAGGGTGCCTGCTGTGGGGTCCCCATGGCCTGGAAAGCCTCCAGACCTTTGTCAGAGCGGCATTTCACCTGCGAACACTGCCGCTTCAAGCCTGGCCAGGACCCTACACGTCGGTGTGTTGGGACAGCCTCGTGCCCAGTGCGAAGGTAGGGGCGCGGTGGCTAAGGCCACCCCCACAGAGCCCGGGGGATGCAGCGAGGTCCAGCGGGGGCTTGCGGGAGTACCAGGTGCTCAGGAGGTGGTCCACCTGCTCCCGGCTGGAGATTGCGCGCAGGTGGGCCTTCCCGCTTCCACTGTCCAGGACTTCTGGGGGCTCAGGCACTGCGGGGGGCTCGGGGCTCCTGCATGCATTGTCCCGGTGCAGCCCCCGTGCCTGCAGCTCACTCTGCATGCTGGCGAAGAAGTGCAGCACGCAGCGGTGCGCGAAGTCCCGCGCATGCTCACAGCAGGTCTCGTCGAAGAGCTTCTGCTCCAGGTCCACGTAGTTGCTCCAGTATCTACGCTGCAGGAAGCCTGTCTGGTCGAAGCAGGGCCTCAGGCAGCGGGCCAGAAAGGCCGCGATGATCAGCAGCAGGGTGACACTCCAGCCGATGGCCTGCAAGGTAAGAAGGCCCGAGGTTAGGTGTGAGTGGGGCCTAATCCTATACATATGTATTTATGAATACGTATGTGAATGTTGCAAATTTAATTTGACCATGTCTACATAATATTCTTCATTTTCCAATGGATTCAAATACTCCTTAGATAATTTAACTGCAGTATACCACTCCAAACATCATAGTTCATTGATCAGAGTATTGAATGAAATGGGAAATAAATTGAGAAGAACGAACACAAAGAAAACTGTGTGATCATCAGATTACATGTCCTCTTTTGTATCCCTGTGGCCTTGTAAAGTGAATTAACTCTTAGAGCATCTGCTACTTGAGGAATTGTCCTGTATAGTGTGGCAAAGGTATTCCAAAGTCCCTCCTTTTACATTTCCCATCCATCCTTCCTCCAATCTATGCACTTTCCTATTCAGTCATCCGTCCTGCCAACCATCCTTCATCCATGCATCTATTCTCCCTTCCATTCATTCTCTCATCCTTGTATCCATCCACCCATTCAACCATCTCTCCACCCATCCAATCATCCGTCCTCTTGTCTTACTGTAAATCTGTCATCTTCCCATCCAGTCAAGCTCCTAACTATCCTTCCATCTGTCCATCATCCATCCATCTCTTTTCCCATTCATTCATGCTCCCATATGCTCCTCCTTTCTTCCCTTGATCTATCTACTCATCCACCCCCTATCCAACCATCCATCATCTGTCCTCTCATCTTTTTTAAAATTTATTTTTATTTTTTGAGATGGAGTCTCGCTCTGTTGCCCAGGCTGGAGTGCAGTGGTGCGATTCAACTCACTGGAAACTGCGCCTCCTGGGTTCAAGCCATTCTCCTGCCTCAGCCTCCCAAGTAGCTGGGATTACAGACGTGCACCACCACGCCCAACAGATTTTTGTATTTTTAGTAGAGACGAGGTTTCACCATGTTGACCAGGCTGGTCTCAAACTTCTGACCTCATGTGATCCACCCGCCTCGGCCTCCCAAAGTCTGGGATTACAGGTGTGAGCCACCATGCCCGGCCCCCCTCATCTTTTTATCCAGTCCTTTGTCATCCTTGTGTGTGCTTATCTGTCTGTCTTCCCATCTAGGCATCCACTGTGTTATACTTGGTGGGAGGCACTATGCTAGGAAGTGGGGGCTCAGTCATTGCTCTCACAGAGCTCTTACCTTAGTGGAGGAAATAGACGATTAAATAGGCGATGACTGGGTACGTGTCATAGAGAGGGAGTCCAGAGGAGGGACACCCAACCTGACCTGGAGGGCGGAGACTGAAGGCTGAATGACAGTGACACACAATAGGAACAGGGGACAGTGTTCCCAGCCAGGAGTGAGGACAAACTGAAGTAGTTCTCTAAAGCTGGAGCCCACAAGCTGGAGCCCACACCTGGCAGACTCCTCTCCCTCCTCTCTACCTTCCAAAGCCATAGTCTCTTTAAGGGCCAGCTTGAGACCTGGGGCAGTTGTGTGGACCTGGAGCAGGGAAGTCACATCTTTAAACCACAGGGACATATTTGAATCCTTATCATTTACAGAAGTGATTTCCACAATTTACAAAGCTCTCTCATTTGGCATTTCACTAGACTCCCCCCAACATCACTAGATTTAAGGTGAGTATTTTATACACGAGAGCAGAAAAGCAAACAACTTGATAAACTTTACATGACTGATAACTTACAGCTAGTAAGGATTCAAACCCTGGTCTCACTGCAAATTCCATGCTGTTTCCACCGAACTAGGAAAAGCCTAGAGTGTTGAAGCCTGCAGGGACCATCAAGATGGAGGAGACCAAACTCCTCTGTATTTTGCATGAGAAACTGAGGTCCAGAGGGGTAGTCCCATGGCCAAGGTTACAGTCTGAGCCAGAATCAAGTGCATCCTGCACCCGGGTCCTCCCTCCATTGCACTGCTGGCCAGCCCATGAGCCTGTCAGCCTCCCCAAGGGGCAGGGGCTGTGTCTTTATTATCTATAGGTGGAATCTGGAGTCTAGGCTGGGGGCAGAGCTGGGGTTTGTCCCCCAAGATAATAGAGTTGGTGCCTTTTGGGAAGACCGGCATCTGGAGAGAGCCTACATTGTTGGAAGGTGATTAAGAGGAATGATGACACTCCTTCGGATCCCTGCTCTGCCTCTTATAAGCTGTGTGACTTTGGCCTTACGAACTAAACTCTCAGAGCCTGCTTCCTCACCTGGAGAATGGGAGGATAATGGTTGTTCCACAAATGAAATGAAATAATACATATAAAATGCTCACTGCAGTGCCTGGCACATAAATGCCCAATAAGTGGAGATTAGTATTATTTCTCACGGGTGGGAAGAAGGTGTGCAGTGGGCGCAGGCAAGGCAGAGCAGTGGTCTCCAGCGCTTCCCTGCCTCCTGGGAATGGACTGAGCCCATCATCTGCTCCTCCTCACCACCCCCCACCCCACTCCAGAACCAATGCGGGGGATTGGTGAGGGTGCAAGAGCCAGGGGAGGATCACCCCAGTTACCTGTGACAGGCACCGCAGGTAGCGAGACACTGCCTTCCGAGCAGGGCTATTCCTGACCAGCTCATCCTCTTTGCAGGGAACCTTGGCCAGGAAGAACTGTACCTGGCTGGGGGTCATGTTGGCAAAGTCCAGAAACTTCTCAGGGTCCACAGAGTTGCTGAAGGCACACACGAAGCACTTCCCATCAAGGAGGGCCAGCAGGATCCAGACCAGGGGGGCGGCCAGCGCCCTCTGCAGCACAGAGGAGCACATGTACCTGGGAGCAGAGGAAGGAGGGGGGTCACAGGGAGCAGCTGGAAGTCAGCTGCAGCAGGGGAGATGCAAGGATGGACTGCTGGGAAGTCCCAGGCCGGGTTACATCAGACTGCAGCTCTCAGTGTAGAGGTCTCAGCGACAGACGCAGGGAAGAAGGAAGGCTGGGGCCCCTGGGATCCCCAGGACTGGAGCATTGAGGAGTTGGCATTCCTCCTGCTCTAGGTCTTGCAACAGACACTGCTGGTGCCCTGCCCATGCCAGAGGCATCTGTGGTTGCCGCGTCTGGTTCTACTCACAGGGAGGGCCCGAGGGCCTCCTACCTCGAGCACCTGCATTGTTCTGCCCCTGGGGCTTTGGAGGATTTTTTTGCTCCAGAGAGGGGTAGGCTGGAAGCACTGAAAAGTTAACCCCCAAATCAACCTTCAACCCCAGAGGGCTGGGGCCTTGTGGATCAATATCCCAGCTTCTTAAATCCTCAGTGGGACAATTCTGAGATGTGTTCTATGTATGCCCTTAGGGGGTCCCCTGAAGGATTGAGCCCCAGTTGCCCACTCATTATCACATTCCTTCCAGAGCCTGCTTTTGGAGGAGAGCCTAAGCTAAGACAGCCCTGCCCAGTAACCCTCCAAAAGCAGCACCTCTAACACCCCCACCCACAAAGCATCCCAGGAGCCCACCCTCTGACCGGCCTCTGGCGCCCTTCCTGGTCAGCTCTGCCCCTGCCTGCAGTGACTTCGACTGAGTGTTGGCCACAGGACAGGAGTCCATTGGAGCTGTGCCCACTGGACCCCAGAGGAAAAGGCCAGGGACACACCCAGTGCCTGTGACCACCCTTGCACAGCTGAATTGCAGGCAGATGTGATCCCTGAGAACATGGAACAGAGGCTGCGCGCAGGTGCACTGGATGCAAATGTTGTTTCTGAATTGGATTGTACACAAAACATCCAATGGTGTATGCCAGGCATGTGCGTGTGTGACCTATCCAGTGTGAACTGTAAATATGTTCTAGGCAGTGGTAGCTTTAGCATTTTCTTTTCTTTTTTTCTTTTTTGAGAGGGAGTCTTGCTCTGTCGCACAGGCTGGAGTGCAGTGGCACGATCTCGGCTCCCGGGTTCAAGCGATTCTCCTTCCTCATCCTCCTGAGTAGCTGGGACCACAGGTGCACACCACCACGCCCAGCTAATTTTTTGTAGTTTTTAGCAGAGACGGAATTTTGCCATGTTGGCCAGACTGGTCTCGAACTTCTGACCTCCGGTGATCCACTTGCCTTGACCTCCCAAAGTGCTGGGATTACAGGCGTGAGCCACCATGCCTGGCCTTGGCTTTAGCATTTTCTATGGGGGGCAATGTGGTCAGAAGATGCAACTGGGGACTCGTTATGCAGTTACATTAGATATGTTTGACAACACCTCTACCATCCATATCAGAGAATAGGGGAGAGGAGGAGATGGTGAGTGAGTGAAAGCCCACCTAGCCCCTTCCGTCACTGCCTGCACATCTAGAGCACTTAGAGATTTGTCCCAAAACAGGAAAGGCAGCTGTTCCAACTTGGCCTGTTCAGTCAACCTGGGTTTGAATCTGAGCAGTGCCACTTCCTGGCTGTGGGAGCTTGGTACAGTTACTTAACTTCTCTGTGCCTCAAGTTTCCATCCTTAAAAATGGGTCCAATAAAAGTGCAGCCTGAGAACTCAGGTAGAATTCAGAGAGGCCATGCACTCAAAGCACTTAGCACAGAGCTTGGCCCTGCATGGTATACAATGAATTACTCAACTCCAGCGGACTTTGCTACAGAGTGCCATGCATGTGCTGGGCTCTGAGGACACGGTGTGCAGTAGGTAGGGTCCTCACTCTAGGGAGCTTACAAGAGAGGGAACACAGCCTTTAAGCCAATCATTGCCTCTCACTACATGCAAAAAACTGCTATGCATGTCATGGGATGGCCCTTCAAGCATGTGGTGAATTATATTCCGTGGCCAGTGTGACAGATGTGGAGATGTGGTATTGGAGCTCAGAAAATGATACCCCAAAATGAAGACCTCAGAAGCAAAAGTTTTTTTAACCTTCTCCTGTCCCCTCACCTGCTCCCCTTCCCCTTCCCCCAACCCAATCTCTCTTTTTTTTTTTTTTTTTGAGAAGGAGTCTTGCACTGTCGCCCAGACTGGAGTGCAGTGGCGTGATTTCGGCTCACTGCAGCCTCCGCCTCCCGGATTCAAATGATTCTCCTGCCTCAGCCTCCCGAGTAGCTGGGATTACAGGCGTGTGCCACCATGCCTGGCTAATTTTTGTATGTTTAGTAGAGACGAGGTTTCACCATGTTGGCCAGGCTAGTCCCGACTTCAGGTGATCCGCCGGCCTCAGCCTCCCAAAGTGCTGGGATTACAGGCGTGAGCCACCACGCCCATTCCCCCCACCCAATCTCTGGCTCCTTATTCTCCCCCAAGGCTAGCTATAGAAACTAGAATCCCTCTTCCCCAAGGTGGGTCATAGAAACCAGAACCCCTTTTCTCCAAAGCTGTCACCATAAAACCTAAAAATATGACTCTAACTTCCCCCCGCCTTTCTGTCTAAAAACTGGCCGTAAAGAAACGATCTGACCTACCTAGTTTCACTGTAGGTCATAAGACTCCCTTCTAGAGGGGGTCCTGCCCGTGTCTGGGAGAAAGGAACGCTGTATAGAGAGGCCAGGAAGAACCTAGATGCCCTTGCTGAGTTTCCCCACTCCGTCTATAGCATTAGTTCATCCCTTTTTTAAATCCAGTTCTATTTCTGCATGGCTATCCAGACCTTGTTGAACCTAAGCATACAAATGGACCATTTCCCCTGTATCTTTAGGTCTTTATTCTGAAGTCTTCTGTGGCACATAAAATGATAATCAAAAAAATTTGTATGCCTTTTCTCTTATTAATCTGCCTTTTGCCAGTTGATTTTCAGCAGAACTTCAGAGGGCAAAGAGGAAGTTTTCCCGCAGCCCCTAGAGTGTCCTGGGTAATTGAGAATTCTGTGTCATTCCTATGTTTACAGCACTGGCCATGGAAAGGTGACAAATGATAGAAACAGAAACATGTTTCCAGAGTGGAAACTGGCAAGTGGGTCTCTGTGAGCCGATAATTCCTAGTTGGGGAAAGGAGAGGGTGCACCTGGCAGTACCTATAGGGTGGGTGGAGAATCCCCTGATAATGAGGATAGTTGGGGTTTGGGGGTGCACTTGGCAGTGCCTGTGGGTGGCTGGGGAGCCCCTGGTAAAGCCCATGGGTCACTGAGTGGTGTGGGACCGCACCTGATGATGCCTGGGTCCTTCCTCCGGTGCCCTGCGGGCCGGCGCCACTCCTCGACCATCACCACAGACTGCCGGTTGGCGAGGAGGCCGCAGAGAAACAGGGCAAGCGGGGGCGCGAGCAGCAGACCCAGGCCGTAGAGTGCATTGTAGCGCGCCAGGCAGGGACAGTTGAAGTCAAAGGAGGAGTACAGCTTGACGGTGACCACAGCCAGCAGCAGGCAGATGCCATTCATCACTGACTCTGAGCTTGACTGGAAGTGCTGGAAGAGCATGCGGAATTTATCCATGACTCCAGCCTGGGTGGGTGGGCAGCCGTCGGGTGGGCTCAGTGAAGCTCTGGCCACCTTCCTTGTGTCTGCTGCACTGGGGATGAGCCTGGGATCTGTAAGAGGGTCTCTCTCGGCTTCCAAGGGCCTGAGGGGTCAAGGAGGAAGCAGTGTCCAGGCCCCAGCCCAGACTCCCGGGGTCCAGCAGGCACTTAAGGCAGGGACAGGCTCTCTCCACAAAGGCTCCCCTCCCCAACCCAATGGTCCCCTGGTGCCACTCCCGTCCTCTCTGGGGGAATGAGTCACCCTCTGTGACCAGCCAGCCCAAAGCACCTCTAGGCAAATGGGCCCCGCCCTGTCACTCCATTCCTCCCGGCCCATTTCTCTTTGCTTTAGGGTCTGGATGCTCAGGCTTAACAGCTGTCGGGGCTTCCTTTGGGGCACAGGCAAATTCTGGGTGTGGTGAGGCAAAGATGCCGATGGAGCCAAAGTATATTTTCTGGTCTTGATGAAAAGCATGACTTTGAACTTGTCTCAGAGACGAAGTAAAACAACAGCAACAACAACAACAAAATATGACGACTCAGCTCAGCCCAGAGAGATTTCATATTGGCTTTCAGGCTAGCAGGAGCCAGAAGGGGCACCTATTCTTGCCTGAAGGCTTCCTGGAAGAGGAGACCCTTGAGAGGAGTCTTCAACCATGTTCCAGCATTTGCCATGAAAGGGATAGCGGAAAGGGATGGCCTCCCTTGGAGACGTGCTAACCATGTGCATTAACCACTGGGTGCCCATGGGAGAGGCTGCTCAAGTGCCACGCCCACACCTGCATGGCTTTCCCCCCGCCCTTCTTCCGTGTGACGTGTGACGGACATGCATTTGAAATCATTGTTTCTCCTAACTCTCCGAGGTCACTAGGTCTCTCCTTGTGTCTCAGTTCCAGCCTCTCTGAAGGATGACAGCCCAGATGTTTGAGGGACTCCTGAAACCTGCAAAATGAATTTTGTAAAGGTTACTTAGCCCATATTTTAAGTCAGATCATCCCAAATAAGTCTTGCAAGTTTCATGACCATCTGTGTGGTCTGTACTTCTGATGAAGACAGCCAGAAACCTGGGTCTTACTTCTTCTTATTATTTTTTTGAGACAGAGTGTTGTTCTGTCACCTAGGCTGGAGTGCAGTGGTAGGATCTTGGTTCACTGCAGCCTCTGCCTCCCAGGTTCAAGTGATTCTACTGCCTCAGCTTCCAAGTAGCTGGGATTACAGGCACCCACCACCACGCCCAGCCAATTTTTGTATCTTTAGTAGAGACGGGGGTTTCGCCATGTTGGTCAGGCTGGTCTTGAACTCCTGACCTCAGGTGATTCTCCCGCCTTGGCCTTCCAAAGTGTTGGGATTACAGGCATGAGTCACTGAGCCCAGCCACTTAGTTTTTTTATTTTCCATATTTGTATGTTACTCTGGGTCCTATGAGACAGATTTCCCTGTGTGAGGGAAACGAGGAGGCACTGGAGAAGATGGGGAGAGCCACCAGTGGTCCTGTGAGTCTGACTCTGAGTGAAGGAGAGGGCGGGGCAGGGGTGAGAAACCCTTCAAGCCAGGAGGACAATCACCACTACCTCTTCAGGTGGGTACAGCCCCAGAGGGGCTGTCGGAGCTCACATACCCTGGTGGGGACAGAGTCAGGGAGGAAGCTGGGATCCTCCGTCTGTGCTTTTCAGCCTTAGTCCCCACCGGGCTGCTGACCAGAAAAGTGGACTGTTCTGGCCCAAGGCCAGACTTCATGACCCTGAACCAGCAGGGCTGGTGCGGAGCAGACGGAGAGCGAACTGGGCTGCGAGGGTCATGAGCACCCCTCAATTCCATTCTAGTCTCAGGGAGGGATAGAGTGTCCTGAGGGTCCCCAGCCACTCTAACCTTGGGAGTCTCCAGAAAAGAATAGACAATGCTTCTGGAAGAACACTTTGAAGAAAACTGGGTCAAAGACTCCGGGCCAACCTTTTCACAGCTCCAGCCTTTGAGAGAGAATACAGAGCTACCAGGTCAACTTGGGTCCCTGGAGCCCTGCAGAGCAACAGGTGCTGAGTGACTGCAGTGGGGCTGGCCCTTGCCAGGTATTTACAGGAAATACTTCAGCAAAGAAACAGGCCAGAAAGAAGCCCACTACAAAAGGGATATTATCTGTCAAAGAGAGGGGATGGCTTAATTTTTTTTTTAATCTCCATTTTCTAAATTGTCTACTTTTATAATAGTAGACATAATAAATCATTATTATAATCATAATAATGATTTTTTTTTTTTTTTTTGAGGCGGAGTCTTCACTCTGTCGCCCAGGCTGGAGTGCAGTGGCACCATCTCGGCTCACTGCAAGCTCTGCCTCCCAGGTTCGCGCCATTCTCCTGCCTCAGCCTCCCGAGTAGCTGGGACTACAGGCGCCCGCCACCGCGCCCAGCTAATTTTTTGTATTTTAGTAGAGACGGGGTTTCACCGTGTTAGCCAGGATGGTCTCGATCTCCTGACCTCGTGATCCGCCCGCCTCGGCCTCCCAAAGTGCAGGGATTACAGGCGTGAGCCACCGCGCCCGGCCCGTAATAATGATTTTTAACTATTTCTAGTAAAAATCATAAAATATTTTAATTGGAAAAACATAAAAAGATAAAAGGACAAGGCAAAAAGGAGAATCCCATTTTGTTGCCTGGAGCCTGGCCCTGCTGAACGAGTAGGGGGAGAAATAGAGGGAGCAATACATGGAGAAAGGCTTCTTTTACTCACACATAGGGAAAGATATTAAATTGCAGATCTGGCCTGGTGCGGTGACTCACGCCTGTAATCTCAGCACTTTGGGAGGCTGAGGCAGGCAGATTGCCTGAGCTCAGGAGTTTGAGACCAGCGTGGCCAACATGGCAAAACCCCATCTCTACTAAAAATACAAAAAATTAGCTGGGGGTGGTGGTGCATGCCTGTAATCCCAGCTACTTGGAAGGCTGAGGCATGAGAATTGCCTCTCTTGAGACTGAGGCACGAGAATTGCTTGAACCCAGGAGGTGGAGGCTACAGTGAGCCCACCCAGATCATGCCACTGCTCTCCAGCCTGGGTGACAAAAAGAGACTAAAAAAAAAAATTACATTTTTCTTTTTTTTTGAGACGGAGTCTCGCTCTGCCGCCCAGGCTGGAGTGCAGTGGCCGGATCTCAGCTCACTGCAAGCTCCGCCTCCCGGGTTCACGCCATTCTCCTGCCTCAGCCTCCCGAATAGCTGGGACTACAGGCGCCCCACCTCCCGCTAGTTTTTTTATTTTTAGAGGACCTACCAGGCGCCCACCACCCTCGGCTCCAGGCTGGTTCTTGAGACCGTTTTTGTATTTCTTAGTAGAGACGGGGTTTCACCGTGTCAGCCAGGATGGTCTCGATCTCCTGACCTCGTGATCCGCCCGCCTCGGCCTCCCAAAGTGCTGGGATTACAGGCTTGAGCCACCGCGCCCGGCCACATTTTTCTTTTTAAATAATGATTTACATCTTAAAAAAAAACAGTTATAAATATGTGTTAATTTGCAATTGGAAGATATTTATAGAATAAATCTTTGGTTCTTTCTTCATGTTATTTTGTTTTATTTTCAAATTGGAGTCTTGCAGATGTATTCTTGGGGGTCCTCCAGATTTTCTTTGATCTTTGCAAAGTAGTCTGGATATTGTTTGAGAAACACTGGCTTCATCATTCTTGGAGTTCCTATTATTGACAGGGCTGTTTAGGACTGGATGCCCCCTATTGGAGAAACTCATTGTATGTGATGTGTGAGAGATGTGTCTATGTACTTGTGTATGCATGTGTGTACACATGTATGTGTATGTGTGTAGTGCATGTGTACATATTTGGTGTGTGTATGCATGTGTGTTTTTATAAATATGGGTGTGGCCATCTTCCTACTTTGTATATGGTGAGTATGCCCTCCCCTGACGGTTCTCTCTCTTCTTTTTCCTTCACAGGGAAGGCATTCAACATTGAATATCCTGACAAGTCCACTTCTCAGGACTGGGAGACTATTGTTTTGTGTGTCTAGCAGAGTGCGGTGCCTTTTCTGTCTCTCGGTGGCCCGATTCTCTGCTTCCCTGAGGACACAGGCCTTTGAGGGGTCCTGGCAGACCCGGGGAAAGCAACGTGGCACTTCTGTGGGTGCCACTCTGGGGACTCCACAGAGCCGTGTAGCCCTGAGGGTGGAGAGAGGCTGGAAATGAAATGGGGCCTTCTAACAGATGGCACTGGAACAACTGGCTAGCCATTCGGGAGCAATTTCTACTTCATGCTTCATACCAAAATAATTTTCACATGGTTCAAAGATTCAACATAAAAATTAAAATCATAAAAATTCTACAGGAAAATGTATGTGAATTTATTGATAATCAGAGGCTAAGGAAGGCCTTTGGGAACCGACCCCAGAATTTAGTAGCTGTAGAGGAGAAGATGGACAAAGTAAGAGCCATAAAAATTAGAAGCTTCTATGGGCAAACATACCAATAAACAAAATAAAAATAACAAACTGAAAGAAGGGTATTTGCCACACATAAGCCTCTTTTCCTTAATTTGTGGAAGGCTCATATGAATCAATACAAAAGATGAACAATCCTAAGAAAAATGGGTAAAGGATTTGAACAGGCTATTTGAAGAAAAAAAAAAAAAAAAAAAGAGAGAGAGAGAAAAAAGTGACCAAACATTCTGGAAAAATTCTAATCCTCATTCATAATTCAATAAGAAACGAAACCACCAGGTGCCTTTAAAAATTTCCAAGTTGTTAGCAGCTGAAAGATTGATCATTCCCAGTGTTGATGAGGCTTAAGGAAATAGCTACTTGCATACATGTATGGTTGGAGTACAAATTGGTAGGTTTTTTGTGGAGCAGTTTGGCAATACATTTAAAGCAAAAATTTAAAAACACATGCCCTTTGACTTAGTAATTACAAAGTCTGAATTCATCCCGTGGGTAGCTTTGCAGAAGTAGCCACTATAAACAAACAAGAATGTTCATTATAGCTCTTTTAATGACAACCAAACTGGAAACAATCTAAATTTCATCAACAGGGGACTGTTTAAATAAAATATGACACAGTCATAAAATGGGATCCATGCAGCCATTAGAAGAATGAAGCAGGCCAGGTGTGGTGGCTTATACCTGTAATCCCAGCACTTTGGGAGGCCGAGGTGGATGGATTACCTGAGGTCAGGAGTTCGAGACCAGCCTAGCCAACATGGTGAAACCCTGTCTCTACTAAAAATACAAAAAAATTAGCTGGGCATGGCGGTGTGTGCCTGTAATCCCAGCTGCTCAGGAGGCTGAGACAAGAGAATCCCCTGAACCCAGCAGGCGGGGGTTGCAGTAAGCCGAGATCCAGCCACTGCACTCCAGCCTGGGTGCTACAGAGCGAGATTCCATCTCAAATAATAATAATAATAAAATATTATTATTGACGTAAAACAAAATAATCAGGTTTAAATCTTAACATTGTTTCTGACTGAGGAACAGAACATGGAACTGTTTTCCTGGTTGATAATACTTTTTTAATTTTTTCTTTTTGAGACAGGGTCTCACTCTGTTGCCCAGGTTGGATGCAGTGGCACGATCATGGCTCACTGTAGCCTCAGGCTCCTGGGTTCAAGTGATCCTCCCTCCTCGGCCTCCCAAAGTGTTGGGATTGCAGGCATGAGCCACGGTACCCGACTACAATACATTTTTTACTCCTGTTTCTCTAAGAAGCGACAAATAAGCCTGAATTTTAGAATGTTATTTTCTCTTCCCTCTCTTACATGACTAAGAAACTATAAAGGTAGATTTTCTGCCCAAACAGAAATGATGCTCCAAGACCATGAAGAGCGGGGCTGGTGCTCTGGCTAGGAGATCCTGCGACCATCGCATGTGACACTACATGTTGGGCCAAATGCAGAGACCTAGGGGCAAAGACAGGCAGGCTGCTTTGGGGGAAGAGGGCACCTGGATAGTT